AAAAAAAAAAAAAAAAAAGGTTTTGTTTGGTAAACCTTGACTTCAAAGTTGTATAAAAACAGTGTTGCTATTGACTGGTCATGTGGCTGGGCGGGGAGGGTTAGGAGGGGTTGTTTGTTTTTTACTTGTGTTTGGTAAGATAGTGATTCTTAATTTGCATGGTTGAGTTTACTGCTTATAAAAGAGATATTGACAGAGAGCACAAATGCATAGTTCTGTTGAAAGGTGCCCTCTCCTGATCTGAAATAACCTTTTTTTTTCCCAATCCTATACCACACTTGAGGATAAAAGGTTCAATGAATAATGTAAATGAATGTAACTAATGCCAGTCTGCATCCTCTTTTGGAAAATAGGTCTTATCAAAGCTTGTTTAATTTTTTGAAAAAGACTAAACACTTTCAGAAAAATAACTGTGTAGATCTATGACACCTGACACCTTTGTGGCAGTTGACAAAACAGTTCAGCAATACCTTGGCTAGCTTTTAAACTAACCAGCTGAAGTTTAGTTGTGGCAGCATCAAAGTCAGTGATATTTAACTAAGTTGAATATCAGTTAGCTGGTATTACTGTAGCTAGACTGCCACCAATATCCAGTATAACTTTTGAATCTTAGTACCACATGACATCCTGACTAGAAATTAGTGACACAAAGTATCATTAAAGTACACATTAAGCAGCTGACAGAATTCACAATTTTGATCAATAAGGAATCAGAGTATTTTTAACAGGGTTCTGCAGGAACTAGTACTGTCAGTCCTGTTTAGTATTTTTTATCAAAAATCTGAAATTAAAGTCCCTACTGATTTAAAAAATCTATGGGTGACAGGTTCAGTGAACAAAGGGAATGATCTGCCTTTCTTGACTAAGCTGGGAATATTCAGTCTAAATGCACTTTAAAACAGCCAAATGCAAAGCTTCAGGGTTCTTGGACATATGAACAGAGTAGCAGCAAATAATAGTAAAGGAGTTAATTAATTAAACCTCTCAGGTGGCATTGGTGAGATGGATACTGGAAAGCTACATACTGTTCAGTTGTCCCCTTTTAATAAAGGATTTTGAAAAAATTGGAAACGGTGCAGAAAAGAGCCACAAGTGATTCAGGGTGGGAGAATATCAGAAACGATTTGTTTTTTATGTAATCTTCATGGGAAGAAACTTCTGGCTACAAAAGGTAATAGGAAATGAGTAACAGGAACCCCAATGGCAGTATGTCAGTACCTGACAATTCAAACAGAATATAAGGCACAGATTTTTAACTCTAAAAGTGATTAGCCACTGGAGCAAGCAATAAAGGGAAGTGATGGGTTCTCCCTCTCTTTATGCAGACAAAGCAGACTGACTGCCTTTCTGGAAGGCAGATCAAAACAAGTTATTGGCTTCTATTCATGGATAACTGGGTGAAAATGTAAGATAAAAGGTTGTATTATCTTATGAATCTTATGATCCCTTTTGGCCTTAAATCCTGTGATTGTCATTGTGCGAGTTGATACATGAAAATGACAGGATTCAAACCAACTTTGGCTGCAAACTAAGCCAGTGTTTGAACTGAAGTTCGCAGAGGTGAAGCAAACACGTAACCAAGACATGATACAACAGCCCAAAGATAATTGGTCCTATACTAACCTGATCTTGTTATAGAGTATGAGAGAAATGTCATTTGAAACATAGCAGGGTTTGAAACGGTTAATCAAATTATTTTTTAACCTTTTTTTTTCTTAGATATTTTAATGAGATGTCTGCACAAGGATTAAGACCTCGCACTGTTTCCAGTCCAATCCCTTATACACCCTCACCAAGTTCTAGCAGGCCTATATCACCTGGTAAATGTATAAACTAGTGTCTGAAAATCTTGTATACACTGCATAATAATGTGCTATATTAATTTATTTAAATAGCCTATTAAAGATGACATGGAAATAAGTGAGTCAGTGATCCATATGTTTATGTATTATCTTTAACAAAAATTGATAGAATGTAGCACATATTTTGGACTGCTGTGACAATACTGTGAGCATTTTAAGTGAATAGTGCATAGTTGACAACTGAAGTTTGGTATATGTGTTCATTCTTCTTGCCCTCCAGCTTTCTTTGACAGAGTACACGGTTCTAGTAGTTTACCAGATTTTGGGAATCTATTAAAACCAAGGCTGCTGATGCATGGTAAATAACACTTTTGAGAAGGCTTGCTAATAGAGAGCCAAAGTGAAAAAAAATTTGAACCTTCCCAAAATGATTGGGAGTTTATACGTTTGTGTAGTTCTGCAAATCTGACATTGTGCTGATTTAAACTGTTAAACTACAACATCTGCAGGATTCTGTAGCAAGTGTATTCCAACTTTATTCCTGCTTCAATCTGGGTCAAAGTTAGGTAATTTAGCTAACTTGATTTGCTAGCAGGGTCATGTGGAGGTAAGAGGTGCATTGTAACAGTTGCTGCATATTCCTGAATAGCAGCAGTTCCCTCTTCCCTTGTAGAGTCGCTAAAATGTGTGTGTGTTCGTACCTGCAATCAAAACAATCCTTACAAAATTAGCATATCTGATCTCTGTTGAGACTTGCATAAGATTTACACCTAAAGGAAACTAAAATTTTCTGAATGCCGTGATTGGGCTGAGAATTTATTTCAATTGCAAAGGAGAATGTATAGGTTACAACTGCTCTTGCATAATTGAATTCTTAATTACTAAAGATATTAAATTAAAAAAAATGTTTTACTGGTAATGTTATGCTATTTAAAACATTTCCTTTGAGTCCAAAATGTCCTGAACATCGCCATGGACCATGCGCTAAAACCTGCTAGCCATGAGTATTAGATGTTGATCATAAATTATCTAATATGTAATGAAAATTTTGCATGTTTTGCTTTCTCAAATTGATTTTGAAAACTCAGCATAACTAGCATGCGTGCTAGTGAAAGCAGCAATTGGCCTATAATGAAGCATTACTGTGGAACAGGACTCAGATATTGTAATACACAGGCCTGCTAAAACACATGGCTTGTCCAAACTCTGGGGTTAATATCAGTTCTTTTTTAGAAGAGGTTTTACTAAGTAATTTTCTTTCCCATAGTGGGTTAAATAAGTTTTAAAAAAATTAAATTTAACTAGCCAAATGATGGCAGATTTGCATTAGGATTTTTGGGCTTTTTTATTCTCAGTGATCCAATTTTGCTATGCCAAAGTGGTTTCTAAATATTAGGAAAATGCCATATATTTTTCAGTTCTTAATGCATAACTTAATGTACAGTCGTGTTATTAAAAATTAAGTGCCATCTTGCTCTCTCACTCATACTTATATGTTTGTTCATGATGACCTATTACCTTGCATTGCAGAATGTAACTGCAGTTTTCATAGTCCATGCATACTAACCTGGGTCCTTCAAACATTGGTGCAGAACTACTTTCTTTGTATCTTATTCCCACATCATAATTGGGACATTATTGATGACTTGAACTTACCAACTGCTGCAGTCAAAGGAAATTTGAGGCCTCACTTTCTACCAGGAAGTGTATCACAAAGATGGAGAAAATTGAAATGTAGCCCTAAACATTAAAAGGGGAAAAAAGAGCATAAAACTGATTTATTTATTTTTCCTGGGAGGCTTCTAGTTTTGACAGATGCTCGTGTAGTAAAGAGCCACATCAGCACTCTATAAACTCACTTCTGTCAGTGTCCTTTCCATCTTATAAATTCACATTTTACAATTCAAAGCTTCATACCTTTCAAGACAGTTTTCTTTTTAGTTAACTAAGAAGAAAGGGAATTTCACGTAGTGAATTATGTGCATATGATGCACAATGCAGAAAATAGCTATTGGGAGAACGTCATGTCTTAGATGCTGAAACAAGACATAAGTTCATGCAGCACCAAACATCCTCAATTCTAACTGAAGAATTATTTTTTCAGAACCAGAGGTAGTCAAACACAGGTTGGCTTTTGAAGTCCCCGTTCCAGTTAGGGACATGCTGCTGTAATGGTAGGCAGGATTAAATACCCTGCATGGAGTTGTGCTTTTATGGCTAGTTCGGTGGTTCCCAGCTGTTTTAGCCCTTTCAAACTTCTGTGAATTTTGTGACTGCATTTTAAAAACTAATTTATTATAGGGCTTACCTCCTTGCAGAGGGGCCAGGCAGTATAGGCAGGGAGCAGCCAAGCAGGGAGAGCTTGAGCCTGACTTTGTCTGCTTATCTTTTCATACCTTGCTCACCTTATGCTTCCTGTGGCACTCTTCAAAGCCTCTCATGGCACCCCAGCTTCCCCAGACACTGGTAGAGAATCATTGGACTTGACTGTTGCTAAGTTAACTCCAATATCTCTACATTTCACCACAGTAATTTGTTTCTGCAGTGTAGACGAGACCTTGGACAACTCCCCAAAGCAGCCCAACATTAGGAGGCTGTGTATTATGTGGGTGGCAGAGAACCATCTTTACATCTCCTAAGCTGTAAGTTTTGTGCTGTCATGTCTATGACATACAGACTGAATGTCACCAAGTGAGACTGACAAGGGAGAATGGAGCTGAATCTCACTGTAGCGCTCATAAGAACACTGAAACCTAGTTGCAAGTGTTTCAGCTCTGCAACCGCAGATGGAGCATTATATGGATGATATAAACAATTTAATCTTTGTCTCTGTTGTTAGTGGCAGTAACGTCAGGGTGTGTTAATGGCAGCTTCGGAGACTTTAACTTGTGAGAAAATCAGGTTTTCAGTTATGATAGTCAAGTTTATTACAATGCTGATTTCCTTATGTAAGACACTAATTTTCCTTCAATATTTTGGAATCAGATGAGGGAAAGCCAAATATAGACAGCTAAGGAGAAGTGAAAGTGCTGGTATGTACTTCAGCTTTAGTGGTGCTGGATTGTGTTGACAGTGGGCAAAGTTTGAAGGCTGTATATCTTGTTTTAGCTGACTTCTCATGCTGTTATAAAAGTTTAATATGCAATCAAAAATTAATTTCAGATGCTCACACCAAAAACAATGCTTGGCTCTTTGATGCCTAGCATCTGAGAAAATGATTATGCCTTCTGTTCAACAGATATATTCATCTGAAAGATGTAGGATGAGTTGAAAGATTTTGGAGGATCTGCTTTTTTCAGTGGAGTGTTCAAAGCATTTTAGAATCTGAACTTCAGAAGTGCTTAGCAACTGCCATTCCCATGGACTTCAGTTGGCTTTGGAGGGTCTCTGCACTTCTGAAAAATAACATGCTCAGCTAAAAGTAAATTGTAAGGGTCTTTGGGTGGATTATGTAAACTGAGAAAATAAGACATGTTTAAAAACGTTAACTAACCTTCTTAAACATGAATCCCTTCCCACCCTTCATGTGCAAATGGCAAGATTTAAAATGTGTTCAGTGTATAGTCCACCCTATAGTCCAACTAGCATCCCCTACTCCAGAGTACAGGCTGAGCCTTTAAAAAAAATCATGCTACCTAATATTGTCAAGTGTAATTAAGGAAACCTTTAGGAAACGTACTAAATTTTGTAATACTGTTGTCGTTCTGTGCACTGTGATAATTACAAACTGAATTGAAAAAATATATAATTTCTTAAGCTGTTTTTTATTTGAATTAAGTTAATATTTCTATGCAAATATTGTATGCTATGGTTATATCCCTTTTACTTTAATTTTAGGTCTATCATATGCAAGTCACACAGTTGGTTTTACACCACCAACTTCACTGACTAGAGCTGGAATGTCTTATTACAACTCCCCAGGCCTTCATGTGCAGCATATGGGACCATCTCATGGTATTACAGTGAGTATTAAAAGTAGTAAATGTTTCTTTTAAATTAATCACTTTTATTTAAATATTTCTATTTTTCTTTAAAAGTTTTTGGGGGTTTTTTTGTAGAAGTTTCATTTTGTTTCATTAAAATGTCTGCAATCTTTACCAAACCTGATTTCCTCTCCATTCACCAGAAACTGATTGATTCTCACTGCAGAACCTTTTTCCTTGAAGAAAAAAGGATACATTGCTGTCTTAAGGGCAGTAACAGATATTGCCCTATGGATCAGCTGGCAGTGTGAGGAGGAGTGTTTTTACCTATATACCCTATACCAGGAATTAAAATATTACTTTAATTTTTCTTCTTGTTTTTACCAAGCTCAGGTTTTCTTCAGGGTAACACATTGCTACCTTCATGTCTCTCACAGGCAATTCGCTCCTAATTACTCTGACAAAGACGAAACTAGTATTATCTGTTAGTTTTCTCAGCATCTTTCATCTTTCTGCTTCTATTGTGTTTAATATCTCAGCCTAATTCAGTTTCTTCCAAGAATTTAAGGAGTTTTTAAAAGCAAAGAAAGCTAAAGCATCAACCATTTGACAAAATACCTCACATCAGATGAGAAGCACTACTCAAATTTCTGAACAAGTACAGTAATATGTAAAACGACAATTCTCACCCAGTGTACCATAGGATCCTCTTAAAGGTGGTGCAGGTGCTGTCTAATATTAGCATTGTTAGGTGTGCAGACACCTACATAGAATTCACAAGATAAACCTAGAGTTTTCAGATAGAACACATAGATCAGAATGGATTTCTTTCTGAGTTCTTATTAACACAAGATTTTTCTGTTAGTTTTCCATAGTGAATAAACAAGTGAAATTAGTTTTTTGAAATGGGATGCCACTAAATTCAGAAAAGTTATGAAGGGGGTAGTACTTTGGTTTGAGAACTGCAGTGTAAAGTCTCCTGCAAGATGTTTCTTTATGCCAGTGGTCTGTTTTAAAAACTTGTTTTCATCGATTTGTAATTTGCTTTCACAAAACATAGAAGAGATGGGCCAACCTCTCAGGAAAAAGATCCTTAAAAGAATTACTCCAAAAAAGTACAGAATATTTTAGATACTGTCTGACTAAACTTTCCTAGTGTGATTTAGTAATTCCACGACTGTTGAAGTCTACAATCATATCGCACACAATGAAGATCTCATGGCTAGGAGCTGCATGGTATGATGGATAAGTAAACAGAGAAACAGACTACAGTTCTGTTTCTAGTCTTGCTGTTACTCCTTGCAGTCTTTGATCAGTGATGTAATTTCTTTATTCCTTGACTGTCTTTTCAGAGACATAATAATATTTACATAATTTTTAGGGAAAAATACTAAATAGAAAAATTAATTCTTATGTAATTATTACTCATCTTTGTATGATAAGCTAAGCACAGTCAAGCTAAGATATATCAGAGCATGGAGGCAAGATCTTTAAGACAGACCAAAAAAATGCTGGAAGCTTCAGGCTTCGTGGTGTATTAGTAATTGGCTATCTGCTTTTCGAATTCATACTGAACCAAGACTCCATCCTACTGGAGATATTTTAGTACTGGAAGTGCTTTTTGAAGCAGAAGTCCTGACCAGTAGTTATCAAAGAGCCCATAGCTCTTTTCAGACATTAGCCTAATCTGTTGCATATTTACCAGAGATTACATCAGTGTGCCTTGGTTAGATTCCATTTTTAGTAGTGCCCCTTGATACTTCATTTGAAAAAGGTTTTCTTTGTATATACCTCTTTTATAAATGATATTGACTTGCTGTGCAGTATATGTGGTGTCCAGTTTTTTGCTGTTTTCCCCCAAAAGATAACTGCTTATTTTCTGTTGGTAATTTTGAAATTTTTCTCTCATTTCCCATATTTTCTCACATACCTCATGCCCCTAAATAGAACTCACACCTTGAATTTGAAAGACAGAATGTAGAAGTTTTTTTTCCAGAATAGTGTCTGCCTGTGAGATATAGAGTAACAGTGTCCAGGAAGTGTAGCATCCTAGGACAGTCTGGGTGACATATCAAGACAGCAACAAAACTGCCACAGATCTTTGCAGTAAATGTCTGTGAATAGGGAAGTATTCAGTTTGGATTCAGCTGATTTGGAGGACAGTGATTCGATTTGGATCACTGTCCTGAGTAAATTTCACCGATTCAGCTTCAGAAGATTCGGTGCTAATTTGCAGAGATTTGGATTGGCCAGGGGGAGGCAGGCAAAGCTGGGTGGCTCCAGGCTCTCCCGCAGCTCCTCTGGCTGTGCCTGCCTCTCCCCAGATGTGGGGAGCTGTGGGAGAAGCCCCCATGGCTGCCCTGCCCAGCCCAGCCCCATCCCCCGCCTAGCCCCAGCCTAGTCCCAGTACTTAATTTTTTTTAATTAAAAAGCCCTGTACTCACTGGCTCTGGCAGTGGCGACTGGGGGCATCTGAGGGCTTGTGGCAGAGCCCCCCGGCACAACATGGGGCACCGGGGATCACCCCCCACACACAGCTCCCAGCAGCTGCCCCATAGCTCAAGTGCAGCTCGGAAGGGCACTCAACGCTGTCCGGGAGCTGGGGCTGCTGGGGCTGAGCGCTGCTGTGCTCTGGGTGACTGCTGAAGCTGCCCCAGCTCCCAGGTAGCACACAGTACCCTGCTGAGCCGCACTGCACCTGCTGGGTCCCGGGGGAGGTGGTGATCCCCACACTGTGCCCTGCCACCGCTTGCTAGCTGGTGTGGCGTGTCATGGTGGGACATGGGATGCTGGTGTGGCAGCGCTGGGAGCAGGAGCTATGCCTTGCTACTGCTTGCCCCCTTCTACCTGGAGTGAGCCTCACCTGC